GTTACCCACAGGGCAGTAATGCTGCCTTTGACAGCAAAAGACAAACTACAGGGTGTTGAACGAGTTCTTCAGAAACATCCTATTATTGTTATCCTTGTTAACCCATTTATTGACAGTACCCTACCACTGACTGAGTATTAAAAATTGTCTAGCGTTGGACAGGGTAAATACTAAAGTAGGGGCCATTACTGTGTTGACGAATTAACAAGAGCCATTGGCAGACAGGTTTGTTAACTCATTTACTGGCAGTACCCTATACCACTAACGAGTAAAATCTGCTGGCGTTCGACAAGGGAAGGGCGCATTGCCAGCTAATGGGATAAACCACCGTGGTTAAACATAAGATTTCATGATGCTCCAGGAAATGTAAACAAGCTATCAGTGTGTCATCCCAGTTTATATATGTATATACTCGGAATATTGATTTATCGGTATATACAAAATTATTTTGAAGTATAACAACCAGCGAAGACGTAAGCCACTAACTACCTTGCGCGGCTGCGCGCAGACTATATAATGACATATATATGTCATCCGTCTGTCCGTCCGTCATTCATCCGTCCGTCCGTATCCGCGTTTTATCCTAATCCGTTTTTAAAACACAAAGTTTGCATAATTAAGGCAGTGCGGTTCGTCATGATCAACATTTTCAAAAGCGGCCAATTAGACCAGGGGTTAAAGGGCAATGACAATGACATGCAGGTGACATTTAACATTGCGTCTCACTAATTAAAATTTGCGTGTTTAATAATGTTTATCAAAGAAAGCAAAAATGTATACAAGACAATCTCACATGTGGAATCTTTACTTACGTACTGCCTTGTAATGCAGTACAAGTATAAATAGAAATGACAAAGCATTTGTAAATTCTAAAACATAATTAAAAAATGATACGGCACATTTAAGATTTTAATATCGTATTTCAGCCGCGTTTATACTGTTTGGCGCACTTGTTGCGTTATATTCATTTATATACACAGAAAAGCATGTCATTGTCCATGCAGACCATAGGAAAAAAGCTTTTGTCAACCACATACAAAATTTAAGCAATCGTTAAATCATATACATGTCATGGAAAGAATATGGAAATAATGTTGAATGAATGAAAGCTAGCATCGCGTATAATATTAAAAGCACCGCATATTATTAGTACTCGAACCACTGCGTATAATTGCAAAAGCACCGCGTATATAAATGGTGAAAGCACCGCGTATAATACTGGAACCACCGCGTATAATGGCGAAAGCACCTTGTATAATGCCGAAAGCACC